CTTTCCTTTTCTCTGTACACGTGCGCACACGAAACACACACACACAAAAAAAACAAAAAAAAAACGAAGTGACCGTTGATGGATGTGGCGGACGGTTGCGTGTTGGGGGAAAAGTCGCTTGAGGCGGAGGAATTGGAGGCGTCTGCCGATGTTCTCGAGCCTCGCACGGTGCGAATCCCCGCAACGACAGTTTCACAAGAAGGTGAAGTGATTGATGCCGCGTCTTTTGTGCCACGGACGCCTTTCTTGAGCGCCCGAACCTTTTTGTCTTCAAAAGCAAAGCGTGCAACAGACGCAGTCGATCCGTTCCAGCCAAACACACTGCCCACGGGCGACTACTTCATTCCGCGTCGCCGGCTTGGCCTCAGGGGCATGACATTTAAAACTCAATGCAAACTGTCCGTGTCACCGTCGAAGAAAGCTCGGGAGGTTGGTGCGCCATACAAGGAGTCACATAGCAAGAGGTTCCGTGATCGTGTCATGGATGCACGGGAGTGTTTGTCCAATGATGACAGGGTCCTCCTTCTTGTACGCGAGAGGAATGATTGCAAGGCGGAGCTGCGGGAAAAGTGCGAGCAGATAAAAAAGCTTGAAGTAGCCCTTCGCGCGGTGCGTGCGCAGCTGGCAAGGGATGCCACTAAGCCTGGGAGCTCTGTTGCCGAACAGGGGAACTCTATCAATGATTTGCGGGTGACGCGTCTCGTGAGTGAAAACAACGATTTGGAGAAGAATTTGCGCGAGGCGAGAGCACAGATCTCGACTTGGAAGCGGGATGCTCGCGTTTCCCATCTGCAGGAATTGAAGTTGGAGCTCGCAGTCTATCAATCCGAGGTTGCCCGCCTCTATTCCGTGTTACAAGGCGGTCGAGAGAGGGATTTGCGGAAGAGTTGCGTTGAGTCTCGCCTTCGAGAGGCTCTCGATGCGGTGAAACGAAAAGGCGACATCATTCGAGAATTAAGAGAGAAACTCTCAGAGAATGCCGCGGCCCTAAGCCGCTCTTTAGAGGATGCCATGCGGTCCCAGAGTACTGCAGAGCAGCTTCAGGAAGAAAATGGGGCTCTTTGCAAAGAACTACAGGTGCTAAGGAAGGTATCCATTGAATTAACACATAATAGAGAAGAGTTGGAGCGTACACGTGATGATCTTAGGGAAACCGGAAAGGAGCTTCACGAGTATAAACGGCTTATGGGAAGGTTGGGTAGCCCTGCTGAGATCTTCACCATCATCAAGGAGCGTGATGCTATACTGAATATGTTGAAGGAGCAAAATGCGCGTGAGGAGGCTCAACGACGGGAGTTTACACGTCAACTAGGAGAGGCAAGACAAAATATGGAAAAGTGTATTCAAAAGGCTTTACAAGAGGAGCGCGCGTTGGCGAAGGACAAGGAAGCGCAACTACGACACACCTGCAGGATGTGGAAGGAGCAGTACGAACGCTTGGTACTAGACAGTGCGACCGGCCGAGAACTGCAGGAAAAACAGATGCAAACTCAAAAAGAACGGCAAGAAGAAAGACAGCAGGAGCAGCGTTTGATTTTGAGTAAAGTGCCGTTGCAATCAAACGAGCAGAGCCAACCGAAGGAGGTTCAGATGAGGAACAGGTTGGAGTCACAATCAGTCAAATTGCCAGTAGTACCTCTCCAGACCCCGTCTCATGCGGGCGTGACATCGAAAACGTCTCTTTCAATATCGAATTTACCAACATTTAAAGAGAGTCATTGTGGTAGCGGTATCAATAATGATAGAGCCTTTCTTGCGGAGAATGTCCAACAGGATGAAATTGACCGTAGTAGCATTAAAAAGGAGGAGGGACATGAGAGCTGTTTGTCAGGCCACCATGGTCACTCTGCGGATGAAAATCACAGTAACTCCAGTGGGCTTGCCTGCGTTTTTCAGCAGCCTTCCGCTACCGCTGCCGCCGCCGATACCATTGAAGAGGAAGAAGTTTTTACGATGCCGGCAAAAGGAAGCCCGAAGCGCTCGGAAACTGAAAATGTCGTGGCGGGCATAGGCTCAAACGGAATTGGGGATCTCTTGGAGGTTCCTCATATTCCATTGGCGAATGGATGTTCCGTTGAAATGACATCGGCAAACTCATTAACGAGAAACGCATCTCCAATAGCAGATGTTGCATCGATGCCTTTTTCTAAACTCGACAAAAACTCGGAGGATTCTCTTCCGATAAGTTTGAAGGTGCCACCGTCACCTCCAGCCGCGGTACCTGCTCTTCCTGCTGGTGACTCTTCAACGTCTGCCGTCCATTTAGCTTCCAGCGTGTCTGACGTGCCCGGTGATTCTGCTGGTGAATATTTTAAACCGAAAAGCCGCTATCAAGAGGAGGATTTATGGGAAACTGTAAGTCCTGTTGAGGAGGACGAGTCGTTCACTGTGCATCACGTGGAATTGTGAGTTGGAAATTATTGGCTTCTGGCGGAAAATACAGTTATTATTATTATTATTATTATTATTATTATTATTATTATTATTGTTTTTGTCGGCATTTACCATCGATAGGCGTTACATTTGCTTGCGTGTTTGCGATCTTATTGCCTTTCAGAGTCGTGTGGAAAACAACTGCGCGAGCAGACAAGGCTCAGTAGGTAATAGCGGGCTTTGTTGAAATCCCATGTGTTTTTCCCCTTATTGCCTGATGTTTGTTTCCAACGATGCCCCGTTGAAGAGTAGCGTGAGCGCAGCAATTTTTTTTTTTTAATATTTGTGTCGTTCCATCCACCCGCTACGACTGCCCTCCACGCAGAGGGGAAGCCCGGTATTTGCGGGGCAGTAAAAGCTGCCATTTTGTGAGTTCACAACGAGCCCAGTTATTATAGAAGATCTTTTGAATGCCGTTGCTGGTTTTTCTTTTGGTGTTTGGGTGTTGGACGAAACTCAGCCGAATTGGAATGTTGGTCGCATTGGAGAACCAAAACGCAATTCCACGTTTTTTCTTTCTTTTTTCTGGGAATAGGGAAAAAAGTTTTAACCAGGCAAATGTTCCAATTTTTTTTTTTTTTTCCTTTTCAGGCTCACATATAGTATTTAAGGAAATTGTGTAAGCTCAATTCTATCAGTTGTGCACAGTGGAATGCGTGTTATTTGTTGGCGCGTGTAGTTGCATTTTTTAGGGAGCATCAGGGAGTACTTTCTGCCCCTCGTTTGCGCGCTGAAGCCACTTTCCTCTTGTGGCCGTTGCGCCTGCACGAATGTTTACTCCCTGCGAATGGGATTGGAGAATATGGACGAAGGCTCCGGTTGGGATGATTCAACGTTTTTTGAGTTGTTGTTTTTTCTCAGTCTTTGGCCATGACCGTGAGGATGAGCTGGCTGTCTTTGCATTTGATTGCACGAGGTGTAGTGCCCGCTGTTTTTTTATTCCTGTCTCTTTTGTTAGTTTTTCTTTTTCCCTTTTTTTTTTGTGTGTTTCCTTTTTGTTTTGGGAAATTGTGAAAAGGGTGTTTGCAAGGGGGCTGGCTAACTCAATGAATATCTTCTGATAAAACAAATACATTTCTGGGCGATTTTTGTTTCTTTTTCTAACTTTTGTTCTTTCGGGGGACCGCGACGGAAGGAGTCAAGGGGCCGATAGCGGTGAGACGAAATTATTTATTTATTATTTTTTTCCGTTCACCCCCTTTTGATGCCTCCACCTTGCGGCGGGGTCTTGTGGCTGGAGGATCTGAAAGTCCGCCACTTCTTATGTAATAAACATTTCCGATCCGAATAGAGTCCACCATTTCATGGTAGTGACTATCAGAATATATAATTGGAGCAAACATCGAGGATGTGGCGAACCCACTGCCTCTCCACCATCTATTTTTTCCCTTCCTTTCTTGTCTGTAATTTCAGGATCCAACCAGCAGCCCAGGCGAATGTGTCAAATCTATTTTTCAAGAATTATATGTTTATTTTTTTTTATGAACTGTTTTTTTTTCTCTTTTTTTCTGATTTTTGGTGAGGAATGACATTTTTGTATCTTGAGCACGTAATTTGTGATGATGCCAGTGGCATTGGTGCGGGAAATCTTTTTTTCTTGTACTATTTGCTCCTAACAGCATTGATATCATGTACCGCCCTTCCCACTGTGATGGATGACGTGGGCCACTATAAAATAGAGGAAAAAGTGATTCTATGTGTTGGGCCCCACTGTCATAATAAGAGGTAATTATCACCGATTCTGCTTGTCATTGAAGAGAAACTACTGTTTTGTTTTGTACGCGTTTCTATTAGCACGTGACGGCTTGTTGTGTCCTACTGGATCCGCTAAATGCGATGAAAGGGTGATGCGGGTGTAGCAGAGACATCATGAATGCTCTCAAAGAAGCATTTCTGTTATGATTCTCTTGTTTTGCCTTCGCGAAAGTCGTTGTTATGCCGTCTTCATGCCTGCCGCGCTCCTATTTTACCGTTATTATTACTACTATTATTGTTTCCATTACTATTGTTATTTTTTTTGCGGCGGTGGTCGAAAACCTCTGGGCTGATAAGTAAGGCTACACAAGCGAAAATACACACAAAGAGATGTCATCCAAGAAGCAGACTGATGTGAGTGGTGGGGACAGGCAGCCCGAAGAGACTCCCACATTTTGGTCGTTGGAGAACCTGAAGGTTGCACAAGTGCAGGTGGTTGGTGGAACACTGAACGGATTCTCAATTGGCTTTGTTGCCGTGTATGCTTATTTCTACCTGATGTCCACGGACTGCTCGATGTACAAGAAGGAGGTGGCTTGCAACAGGGTATTGAACGCAAAATGTTCTTGGAACAAAACACGTGGGGAATGCGGCTGGAACGGCTTTACCTGCTTTTGGGGGCACGGTAGGGATAAGACGCCATGCTTGGATGATAGCAGGTGCAAGTGGGTGTACAGCGACGAAGAGTGCAAGAATCCGACTGGCTACAGCTCGTCCTATAACGGCATCTTTGCTGGTGCGATGAACGTTGGCGCAATGATTGGGTCGACCTATGCCGGGCAGTTTGCCGCGAAGTTTGGTCACAAGGTGTCGTTCCTGATCGTCGGCATCGTTGGCGTTGTGTCATCCGTGACGTACCATGTGTCTTCGGCAACGGATGAGTTCTGGGCTCTGTGCGTTGGTCGTCTACTGATAGGTGTTGTACTCGGTCTTGTGAACGTTGCATGCCCCATGTATGTCGACCAGAACGCCCACCCGAAGTTCCTTCACGTGGACGGTGTTCTGTTTCAGGTGTTCGCCACGTTTGGCATTATGTTTGCTGCAGCGATGGGGTTGGCTATTGGGCAAAGCGTCAACTTTGACAAGGACATCAAAATGGATGCCCGCATGCAGGGCTACTGTGCCTTTTCTACGCTGTTTTCGGTGCTCATGGTCGCGCTTGGTATCTTCTTGGGCGAGAGCAAGACGAAGTTTACGAGCGGCAAGCACGAGGACGATGGCACTGCGCTGGACCCGAACGAGTACAGCTACTTGCAGATGCTTGGACCTTTGGCGATGGGACTAGTGACTTCCGGGACGCTGCAACTGACTGGCATCACGGCATTGATGAATTACGCGCCAAAGATTATGGGCAACTTGGGGATGGTGCCTCTTGTGGGCAACTTCGTGGTGATGGCGTGGAACTTTGTGACAACTCTCGTCTCGATTCCACTTGCCCGGGTCCTCACGATACGCCAGCTGTTTCTTGGTGCCTCGCTTGTGGCGTCGGTCTCGTGTCTGCTTCTGTGCGGGGTCCCTGTGTACCCCGGCGTTGCCGATAACAACGTGAAGAATGGCGTTGCGATCACTGGAATTGCCGTATTCATCGCCGCATTTGAGATTGGCCTTGGACCGTGCTTCTTTGTGCTTGCCCAGGAACTGTTCCCACGCTCTTTCCGTCCGAGGGGTGCGTCCTTCGTGCTCTTGACGAATTTCATCTTTAATGTTATCATCAACGTCTGCTACCCGATCGCGACGGAGGGCATCTCTGGCGGCCCGTCTGGCAACCAGGACAAGGGTCAGGCAGTCGCGTTCATCTTTTTTGGCTGCATTGGTATTGTCTGCTTCGTTCTGCAGGTGTTCTTCTTGTACCCGTGGGAGGAGAGCACTCCTCAGAACCACGGAGACACCAACGAAGAGTCCGCGCTTCCAGAACGGCAGTCGCCGATTGAGGTTGCCACCCCTGGCAACCGTCAAGCCGCGTGAGTGTGTCGTGTGGCACCGTGTGAGACGTGAGACCAATATATCTTACGGCAAAATAAAACGCAAAACGAGGGTGCAGGACTGCGTTGCTGCTGACGACACTGCGAAAACCGCGCCTTCCACCGCAGGTGTCGTCCGATGGGGTTGGCGCGCAGCACCCGATAGAGTCAAGCGGCATCCTGCGTTTTTCTTGTTACGGGCAACTTTACTTCTTTCTGATTATAATTGAAAACGGCTATATGTATATATATGTTCTTTTTGGGGAAATTGTGAAAAGGGTGTTTGCGAGGGGGCTGGTTAACTCAATGAATATCTTCTGATAAAACAAATACATTTCTGGGCGATTTTTGTTTCTTTTTCTAACTTTTGTTCTTTCGGGGGACCGCGACGGAAGGAGTCAAGGGGCCGATAGCGGTGAGACGAAATTATTTATTTATTATTTTTTTCCGTTCACCCCCTTTTGATTCCTCCACCTTGCGGCGGGGTCTTGTGGCTGGAGGATCTGAAAGTCTGCCACTTATGTAATAAGCATTTCCGATCCGAATAGAGTCCACCATTTCATGGTAGTGACTATCAGAATATATAATTGGAGCAAACATCGAGGATGTGGCGAACCCACTGCCTCTCCACCATCTATTTTTTCCCCTCCTTTCTTGTCTGTAATTTCAGGATCCGACCAGCAGCCCAGGCGAATGTGTCAAACCCATTTTTCAAGAGTTTTCTGCTTGCTTGAATTTGAATGTGCCGTTTGTGTTTCTTTGTGTGTTGTCTTGTTGGGTATTTTTTCTTCTTCCCTATTTGCTGCTGCCGCCTTGTTCTGTTATGTTTTTTATTTATTTTTTATTTTTTTGACTGTTTGTAAGCCTATGTGCCTTTCCACTTTGTGTTGTTTTTTTGGGGCAGGAAGTGAGGTGGCGGCATCTTTTTTGCCCGATAGTGCATTAGAGCACGAAGAGGAAGGAAGGAGAAAGATCTCCCGCTCCCTTCTCTCTCTTCAATTCCCTAATCGGACACGCACAGCAAGCAGAATCAAGGGGGAAATAAATGTCGTCAAGACGAGGCAATAGTATTTCACCGTCACGAATACACGAGAACCCCGATGACCCTGCAGCAGTGCTCTGTGCGTTTCTCATGGCGAGGCGTGGCTGGAGCCGTTCCCGCACCGCTCTCACATTGGGAATCCCACCACTTGTGCTCGAGGAGTGCATCCGCAACGGTGTTTCCTCCACCGCAATACGCTCGCAGTTAGCGCTTTGGATTGCTGAGAACAAAGATGAATCCCTGCCACCAATCCTTTTGAAGGCGGTTGTTGAGGCAGCACCTTCTTTGACCGTTGGCGCATCGGAATACCTACAGGACTGTGACCCTTTGGCCACACTGGATCCTGTCACAGAGTCTTATTTTGTCGAATTGGGATCGAGTGTTGGTCAGAGCTTTATCTCAATTTTGAATGATCCACAAGATGCTGCGGAAATCAACTCCAATTGGGGATTGTGGCTCGGAAGCGTCGTGTCTGGTGCCTTAGATCACAAGGGACAGACAAAACGCGCGGAGACCACTGTGAGTCTAGGGCCGTCGTTGTTGACATCATCATCAACATCATCATCTGGGAAACTCCTTGCACGCTATGGTTTGCAAGAAGACTACTCTTCTTACCTCCATCTCGTTACTGCCCCGTACAATAGGAATCGGGAAGAGAGTCGGCAAGCATCGACGATAGCGGACAGAAGTGAGCGGCTTGGTATTGCTAACACCCCTCCTTCCGTCGAAAATCTTCCGTGGCCGACTGGGGTCCCGAAAGAGTTTTTTGATTCTTTCTACGACGTGAGTTGTGAGGTTTGCTTTCTGGAGCGGAAGCTACGAGAACTCGGAGGAGACTCTGTAGTTGAGGAAAACAACGCTTCTATTACTGCACAGACATTTGGAGAGGATTTTGAGGTAATGGAGACTCGAATGAAGGAGCTTCGTCTGTGGGAGAGTGCCGTGGAGGGATGTCTTCTGCAGCATGTACAAAGTCGCTCAGAGCAGTTTTTTTATGCGTCCCACGAGTTTGGTAATCGAGCTGCGGAGGCTCGAGAAGCCCTTGAAAGTCTGCGGCAAACGCGGACGGACATTGGAACCTTTGGTAAGGGACTAGTTCAAGAGTTGCTTACGACCGCACGGTGTTATCGAAGCCGAAACAACCTTGGGTCTTTGTGTAATCTTGCGGAAATGGTAATGTCGGTCTCTTCTCAAGTGGTAGCTATTGAAAATTGGGTGGCACTTCCCGAACGGGATATGATGGAATTGCCAGTTATTGTTGAGATCTTTTGTACGCTGCAGGATGCGATTTTAGCAGGGCATTGCACGGGAACTTTGTCGAAAAACGCTGGTACCATTGGTATGGGGTGGATTACGAAGGTGTCAGCGATGAAAGACATCCCACGCCGTGTGCTGCATTTGAAGGAGAAGCTCTGCGTGATGATTATGGAGGAATTGGAGGTGATTCTTCTTCCGGCGGCGCGTGGAGGTGGAGACGATGGCCACATCACTAGGACATTTCGTTCCGCTATGAAAATGGGAATATGGCCTAGTGCTGCACGTCACTGCAATGATCTTCTTGTAGATACACTGTGGACGGCAGTTCGCGAAGCCTTTATTGCCTTTGTGATGAGTCATTGCGAAATCAGCGATTCAACGGCCAATAATCTTCTTTCCACTGCGGTGACGGCTGATTCTTCACGCGAAGAGAAATTGACACTATTTGAACATTCCAACGCATGTCGTTTTCCCCTGTACATAGAATTACTGGGCCTCATTTCGGATCATGTCCTTGACTTTGTTACTCAAGCTGCCCAGCGATGGGGGCTTCTGCTTGTCGATATTTTTCCCGACCCTTCTGTTTCAGACAATGAGGGAGTAAATGCGGAGGACACAAGGAAATACTTCTCGTCCTTGTGTACGGTTGCGGAGAGTTTTGTCGCTCTTCTGCTTGAAGTTCGAAGCCAGCGGGGGAAAACGCCTACAAATCTTCGGGATCTTGAGACAATTGTTTCTATGAGTTGTGCCTTTCTGCCCAATATGGTGAGTAATCTTCAAGGTGTTCTGGCAATCTGTGGCAACATCGGTGATACATGGGGGTTTGTCTCAGGAAGGCGGGTTAAGTCTGCCGTGACGCGGCTGGTGAAGGAGCACCTCCGCTCACATCATGCGGAGGGCATTGAAAAATTACGTGTGTCAATTGAGAATGAAACCTGGCAGCCAGAAAAAATTGACCCTGCCTTTCAATCCACTGTGGACGTTCTTTGCCGAAGTGACGATGCAGCTATCGAGGAACTTCGGACACACGCCGCGTTTACTGAAGTTATGGGTGAGAATGGGCTTTGCCATCTTGCGGCACCAGTGACAACAGCAACAACAATGGCGAGACAAATGGTAGTATCGGCGCCATTCAATCCATCATCTAAGCCTTTGAATACGTGCGAAGCTGACGCAAAAAAATTACTGTTGATTCCACCTGTGGATGGCCATACGGAGGGTCGGGTGGTGAGTAGCTCGATTTTGATGTTGATCACATTGTTGCATGAATGTGATGAGTACTTGAGTCGTTTTCCTTTTCTTGCCTTTGATGTGATGGGGAAAATATATGACCTTCTCAGACTGTACGATTCACAGTGTGCTGCTCTCCTCCTCGGCGCGATGGCTGTGGAAAATGGTGTGCTGGATACAATAACAACGCAGCACATGGCGGTCGCGTCACAAAACCTGGCTTTTTTATACGACGGTATTCCACTTATGCAGAGGCGCTGGCTTCGTGCAACAACTGTCGATAAGTTGGCATCGCCTATTGTTGAAGACATAAAAAGAGTTCGCAAGGACTGCGCGACGCACCGTTGTGAGTTTTTGGGTAAGATATCAGGCTTGGTCAAGGAGAAGGTTGGTGGACTTGGGACTGTCTCCGCGGAGCAGTGGCAAGCATCTGGTAATGAGTGGGTAATGACAATGCTGCGTGAGACAGCGAGGTTGATGCGGGCGATGAAGCCGATTTTGCCTGCCGAGGATTGCCGTGGGGTTGTAGTGCCGCTCCTTGGCACATTTGCTCGAATGATTCGCTCGGTGACGATGTGTCCGGCAGTTAATGCCGACCTTCGAGCAGTGATGCTGTCGGATGTTCTTCTTTTCAAGGCAAATGTGGAGAGATTTGGCTTTGATGTTTTACGTTGTGCGATGTTATTCAATTCAGAAGCAGAAGCAATGACGAAATCAGTTGAGCCCTCCTCATCGGAAGCGGATGTCGTCGCCTGGTTTTTTAGTGACGAAGGAGGATCATGAAGACGGTGGTACAAAACACACTCCTCTCTTTCATTTTTTTTTTTTTTTTCTTCATTCCCCTTGTTGCCGCTGTTGTCTCTGCTTGTGTATTTTCCTCAGTACACTGGGGAAGTGCAGGCCGTTTGTTTCTGTGGAAATGGAAGGGGAAATGAATATGTCTTTTAGGGATATCCCGGTGTTTATGAGGTGCGGTGGCGGTGCAGGAGCATTTTGCTTTTTTGTTTGTATGAGTTGGGTTTTCTTTTGATTTCTCTCATTTCCCGATGAGGGGAACATCAGAGGGCGATGTACCGTGGTCGTCAGCGCTCCACCATCCTTCACGCCCGAATGGGGCACCTGGTGTGCTGCACTGTGAGTCGTTTTGTGGCAACGTCATTCTCTGATGGGGCTCATGGTTCCGGCGCATCGCGAGGGTCTGGCCGTGAGATCAACGCTCTTCTTCGAGAGATCAATGACCTATGGGTGCGGCGTGGCGTCAGCGAGCATAAAATTTCTGTTTCCGCATCCAAGTTGCGGCCGAAAATGGCAACGGCCATGACGGACAGAAGTCCCGTTCAACCGCATGTGAGTCCCACCGTCCCGGCGGCAAGGGAGGACACACCCCGAGGCCCTGTAATCACAAAAGAGCCGCCGGTACTCACGGATATTGCGTGCACTCTGCAGGAGTTGGAAGAAGAGCTGTTCAAGCTGTCAGCCGATGAGGCAGCAGTTACTGAGCCTCCAAATAGCGCATGTATTCGCGGATTGAAACTGGAAAATGAACATGATGAAAATGAAAAGGGTGCTGTTCTATCATTTAATGGGCCAAGCGAGCCACGGCATGAGACCATGAATTCCGCAGCAGCGGAATCCCCAGCCGCATCTTGTTTCTTTGAATCTCTGTGTCACCATGAAAATCTCTCATTTTGGATGGATGCTGAAGAAACCAAACCTTTACAGAACCCCGTTAAACTACAAGTATCCAAATCTTCTGACCGCACTTTTGTTTTGGAGCTTCGGGAGCAACCTCTATGTGCGCGAGGCGTAGTTCTTGCGGTGAGTCAGGCCTTGAATGAAGTGGAATCTTTGACGGAATTAAGCGAGGGCCTTGTTGTAGTGTTCCGTTCAGTAACCGGCATTTTTTTCTTTACCCCGCAGCGTTCAGAACTGGAGGTGAGTTATTTAGCTCGTGCAGAGTTGCTGAGAGCAAAGGAACGTCTTTTTTGCCGCATGCGGGAAGCCAGACTTTGTGGAGTGTCTTTCATAGCAGAGTTGAATCATTCCGCGTTTAATATTGGTGCGGAGTTATTTTTTATGTGTGATAGCAAGCTCATACCGGAATCTGAGGTATGCGGCAGGGTCACAAAGGTTGGATTTCCTTCTGTGTCAGCTGGAGTCTGGCCGGCGCCGTGTGTGGTACAGTGCATATCCCGTCTTCTGGGCTACGGAGAGAAGGTTGGTCTGGTGGTTCCCATTATGCACACAATTCCATGGAGTGAGTTGAGTGAAAGATATCCTCAACTCTTACAGTCGGGTTGCACCTCGCAACGGTTGCAGGAAAAGTTATATCGACTGTTCAACTTGCAGTGGGATCGTCTTTGTGAGTTATTGGGGTGGGGAACAGATCGATTTGCTAAAGAGATTCGCGTGGATTTTTTGATGCGCCACTGGGACAATTACTGTGCATTGGTGGATACGACTCAAGGTGGCACAGATTCGGTTCTTGATTTTACTGCTGCTTCCCGGGGTATCAGCATGTATGTAACACTTCTGGGAACGAGTGATTTTTGTAACGCGGCGTCAGTGACCATGGCGCTTCGTCGTATGCGACATCGAGTGTTAAATTTACCACCACGGGGAAGCATTATTGAATTACGGCCAACCGATATGAGCAGCGTTACGGTGGGCGAATCGTTTTGTGTCTTTACCGAAGCTTCTTCGCCCGAAACGGTTCGTTTTATTGCGGAACATCGCAGTTTCAGCGGAAATGGCGTGATCAAAAGTGCTTTGCTGATGGGAGAAATAGAGGGCGTGAAGGATGCAGCTGACTTGTTGGACTGCGCTGTGGTTGCTACTAATCTACGTCCGTCGAAATTGTGCAAATTGGGTGAGGGCGGAGATATGGTGGAGGTTCAGCTTCTCTGCTCTCCACATGTACGAAAAATTCAACAAAGGGAGGCACTCTCCTCCGCCTTGGCGTATCTGCAGTCAAAGGGCATACCATACATTGTCAGTAAGGGCGATGCCGGAAATCGCCTTGTGGCTGCCCTTTCTCTAGAGTTGTGTCGACTGGCCACGGAGGCGGAGATGCGGCTGATTGACGCCGTCGCAAGAGAAGAATTGCGATTTGGCTGCAACCCATTTCAGCTGCTTGATTGCTACGGTATGATGTACATTACAAAAGTGATGGGACGGCATCCACATTTGGCGGACGAGAGGCGAGTCCCGCCAATAACGAGGCGAGTATTGTCGGCAATGGATGCAGAGGGTTTTGGCGGTGAGGGTGTTCACCGCGGGGGATTTTACAACTGCTATGGAAGCCTCAATCCGGAGATTCGAACAGAGTTCTTGAGGCGGAGAAAATTATCACGGAGCGATATTTTCCTGCGGCTCTTGTTTGCTCTTGTGAATGAAAGTTGTCGCATGCTGCTGGAGGGTTGTGTTGAAACGGTAAATGATATTGATCTTCTTTCCATTGGCGCCTTAACGTTGAATTTGTCAACGGGTGGCCTCCTTTCGTACGTGGACAGCGGTATCGGATGCTTTGCACTGCTGCGCAACATGAATTACCTTTCAAGGGATATGGGCGTCACGGACCCACCTTCCCCGCTGCTGCAGGTGATGTTGGAGGCGGGTGAAACATTTCGCACCCTCTCCCCAGAAACTTTATACCAAGCGAGACAAAAACTTGTAGGGGGGATTTGACTGGAGGGGAGGCTTCTCAGACTTGCTCGTGTGGACTTTCGTCAGCAGTGGCGGAAGCGACAAAAAATAATCAAAAAATGCGGCCAGAAATTATCAGCCAAGTAACACGCGTTTTGGGTGTGACATGTGTGTGTACTGACTTTATTTGTTATCATTATTGTCATTATTATTATTATTATTATTATTATTTTGTGTGCGTGTAATGTGTAAGTTCACGTCGCATGTCTCTCGTTCCACTGCGCCTTTTTTCTTTTTATTTTTTGCGGAGAAAGGGAACTGAGGGGGTTTGGAGAGTTGGGGGTTCACTGAAGGACGACAGGATCTCCGGGCGATGGTACTACACAAGTGGGCGGTGGTGAGTAAAAGTGCCCCGCCGCCTCCCGGGCTGCGCCCCGTCGCCCGTGTGATTCCTTCACATCCTCGTTTGCGCCCTGCGGATTACAAGATCCCGTATGTGCTGCGTACATTTATCAAGGACCGCTACACAAGTGACATGCAGCACATTGAAAACAGGGGCATGTTTGCGGAGGAGCTGGCGATTGAGCGATCGAGGTTTCCACGCCTTCACAAGACTTTGACGATCCAAACGGATGGTTCAATTAACGAGCGGGAGTTCGAGTTTGTTGTTCCCCCCGTCGTCACGCTCTTTTATGATCGACTTTCAGCTCATCGCCAGCGTCAGTTGGAGTTGGCGAAGATTGGGAAACTGCGGAAGGAACGAAGCTGGGAGACAAAGACGGTGGGCGAGGAATCCTCTAATCCCGTGTGCAATGCCCTCGTCTTCCCATATTGTGTGCCGAAGCTGATGTGGAAAAGGCCACGACTTGCTGATCCGCTGAGTGCCAAGTCCCATGTTCGAGGCTCGGGCTTAACGACGGCAGATCATTAGTGGGGCATTCTGGGAATTGTTGTTGGCAAGAAGGAGCAAGAGGAAGTGGGGGAAGGAACGAAGAAAAAAAAAAAAAAAAAGGAAGACTGAAACGAAGAAATTGCATCTTACGTTGCACATTTTTTTTTTTTTTTGTTGTTGTTGTTCTCTCTTATTGCTTTTTTCTACTGCGTTTACATTTTTTTTTTTTCTTTTTGTTTCAATAGGCCCTAAAGGACGAGAACAAGAAAAAACAAACAAAAATGGCATTTGCCGAAAATTCTCACGACGTCATCGTGTCCTGCCTCTCAAAGCAAACGCTGCAGGAAATTGAGGGCCTTGACCCTGCACAATGCGGCTTTGGCCGGGAGGAGTGCTGTGAGCCTCTGCCGGCGAAGCTTCCAGGCAGCATGGCGTTAAAAGAGCATTTATTTTTT